AACTCCATAATCTTATACTTCGTATAATACTCTCTCAAATCACAATATATATAGTTTTTGTAGGTAAGATGAAGGGTCTAACAGGTCGGAGTTCCTCACAGGTCAACCCACCTCGGGTAAGCGGACTAGACAATTTGGGAGAGTGGGGGGGGGGGGAGGGGAGGAGATAAGGGAATTTCATCCCCAAATTGTCATTAGTAGGGATTGAACTTCTAACCTCATGGTTGGAAGGTGTTCTCCTTTCCAATGTTTAACCTGGTTCTCAAATCACAATCTATCTATTAATCTATACTAAAATCAAATCCTTCCATGACACTTGTCATTACCTTTTGAAAAAAATTCCCGCCTTTTTCAGGGGTTTTTTTTTTCAAAATCTTTAAGTAAACTATATATATGTTATGATATTTTCTTTCCAGTTTGACAATCATATTCCATATATACCCAAATAAAATATTTCTGAATATCTTTTATATACTTTATATTTTGTAATATTATTATCAAAAATATTTAACAATCGTGCATTGTACGGGATTTTAACCTAATATACTTATAAGAAGAAAAAAAACACACACACATGTACAATATATTTCGTATGTATAATGTTATCCTGTATTTTGAAGTGCAGTTTCATTTTTTAATTTTTGGGTAAGGAGATTTCCCTTACAAGTTGGGGGGAGAGGAGGGGGAATTAGGGATCCCACTTTTTTGGGGTGAAAATCAACCCCCTTTCACAAGGAAGGAAGGAGGACCTCTAATCACTAAGCCAACCTTGATTCTCAAGTGCAGTTTCATAATATCAACTTTCTTAATGGAAGAATGCATAAATTGCTACTCCATAATATAATACTTCATACAGAATAATAAACAATAAATTTTCTGTGCGACTAGCCACACCGTGTGGTTGCAAAAAAATAAAAATAAAATACAGAGCAACCCTTATAACACCAACCCCAATTATATAGGTAAAGTAATCCCTTATAATATTTATTGAATAACTTTAAATAACCCCAACAACATTGACAAGTAACTCTTATAATTTTAAAAGAGTAGCGTCTATAACATTTACATAACAACTCATCGTGACCGGTTATACGATGTGGCCTACCACCTACTTCCTCCGTTCCTATATGTTTAATATGTTTCCATTTTAGATGTTCCTTTTTATTCTTTACATTTAGTAATTTTCCTTTTTTAGTCATAAATTTTGGACAAAATTACCCTTGTTTTACAATTTTAATACTCAAAAGTCCTTACTTTTCCATGTGCTATTGTACTTTTTGTACTATTTTAATGGTTTTCCAATACTTATTGTTACTTTCTCTCTCCTCTACTTTCTTTGCCCCACATGTAAAATATTGTTTTTTTCAATAGAATTGTACTTTAATCATTGAAATATTCCAATATACCTCTACTTTACATAATTTGTTAATAACCGCGCATAATTCCAAATGTAAGTAGTATAAGCAGGACTAATCAAAGCCAAAAAGGGTGTCAAATTTTTAAAAGGGCCCATTTGGACCACAAAAATAACATGACCTTATGCCTAATTAGACTTTAGACCTCATTGAGATTCAACATTTAATCCTAATTTTAATTTTAAATTCTCCAAAAACTTTGTTAAATCATCGTCATCATATTTTTCATATATTAACTGACATTATCTTGATTTCAGAATCACAGATACTTCATCACTTCACGACTCATTGACTACACACTCTTTGAGATCATGACGTTTTCACCGAGGTATGTTTATACTTTACAGATTAATTCAATGTGAAATGTTATGTATTTATGAGTATTTTCGATCCAATTTTTTTGGGTTTTTATTGAACATTATCAATGTTGTTTGCAGTAATTTTTCAGTGTAATTTTTGTGGGTAATTTGATAATCCAACTGGAAACTTTGTATCAATCATTTCTTATATGAATTAATTAAACTAGGATTGTATTCGTAGAAAGAGTCTTGCTTAATTTGCCTGCATTAATTCATTGACTCATTTCCAGGCATTAACAGCTTATTTACAGGTCATAGTGTTATGCTGTTATCTCTCTGTCTTACCCATTGCTTCTCATATTATTAAGCTAAAATCAACTAGGAGCAAAATTTAAAGCTTGACTCTCAAGTTTGCACAAAATTTAGTTTAAGGTATGAATTTTGGGTTTTTCCGTTATGTGACATTACATTGTTTCGATTTCGAAATTTCGGAATGATAATGCACTCAAATTGCATTTTTTTTTTTTTTCGGAGTAAACTTTAACTATATCACTTGGCTATCTTTGTATCCATAAATGTGAACTAATTACATTTTTTTTTTTCCCTATATAATACTGTGTTCACTTTTTTAGAACTGCATAATAAAGAAAATATATTAGGTTATAGAATATATCTTGAAGATACTCCCTTGCACTCTTATCTTCATCATAGTCCTTTGATTTTTTTACTTTCAGAATTTTGTACTTCATAAAAATTGAATCTATATATTCGCATTGGAATTTTTTTCCATTAATCTGTATTTCCTTTGATATTTCCAAAACTAATGTTAGACTAAATGGTTGAGACATACCATTTATGGCAGTATATGAGCACAGGCGGTTGTTATTAAAGCCCATTAAGGTAGCCCTGCTGGAGTGCTGGGGGGGGGGTGGTGGCATTTGCTGCATATGATCTATGCAAACTTTAGCTGCTGGGTTGCACTATCTATTTAATCACATAGAATTACAACTAAATATCAATTTTCACCAAGTTCTCTTCTCCTTCATTTCTACTTTTCTGAACTTCCAGTCTATGACATCATGCTAGAATTCTTTGCCAGTAAGCTGAAACCAAGAATCCATTCGAAGAACTAGCTTACATATGGAACATGGTTTGGGGTCCTAGGATTGATCGCAGCTGGAAAGAACTATGACAATTGCCCCAGCATTCGTAAAGCCTGTGACTATTTGTTATCTAAACAGCTTTCTTCAGGTGGCTGGGGAGAGAGCTATTAGTCATGTCAGAACAAGGTTAGGTTCAAAATAGCGTAGAGAACATAAGTTCAATGGCAAATGGCATCCAGAAGTTCAACTCACATGATATCTGCAATATCTAGTCAAACGTTTTATAAATGTGTGCTGTTCTGCATTCCTCTGATTAAATTCAGAGAGACAATGGCACAGATTTGACAAGATTCAGGATTGTTTTCAAGTTTTAATACATCCACATAGGCAAACTCTAGCTTGCCATCATTCCTTGTCACTAATATTAGTGTTGTGCCACCATAACTTCAAGAGCTTCAGGATAGAGATGGCATCTTTGTTTTGAAAAATAGATTTTCTGCACATTGACTATCCGATCATCACTTTACCAATGTATTGTCAGGTCCCTGTCATCACAACTTTAACAATATATGTTTGCGTGACAAGCTGAACTGTTCCAGGAAGCAAATCAAGCAACTTGAGTTAGTTAATGATTTGAGCATCTAAACGCTGTTGCAGGACCTTTCTAGCTCAGTGGCATTCATAAAAATCATTTATGTTAATCTCCTCTTGCCCATACTTGGCCACACCAATGAATGACCTATCCACTAGGATTGACCTGGCATGCCCCAATCATTCTTGTTACAGTTTCTTCAACCCTCCTAAGGTTGAAGAATACTCAAGGAATTCCTTCAAAGGCAGGTGCTGCCTTTTGGGAAAGTGAAAAATTTCCAACTTAAGCTCCACACTACCTTTTCATACATTATATTTTTTTTTATTGACTCCACTGAGTTTCTAGAACTAACACAATTTGTTCTATTTCTAACCGTCTTTTGTTATTCAATTCACTGACATGCCTTACAAATCTCTTTTGGTAGCCTTTTCCACCACATGCAAACTCCTTGTCTATATATATCTCTCAACAAGCCTCCAAATCTCTCTTGATTACCAAAGCTGTATGTTTTACATTACTCTTCCTTCACAATACCACCATCTTCATTTTATTTGCATGAGGTTTGCTGGTCTTGTTTTTCAGGTTTTCATGTTTCCCACAGATTTGTGTATGATTTAAACAAATTAAAACTTGTAGCTTCTTTTGAATTCAATTCATGAAGGAATATACACCAAATGCTCATTATAGTACTAAATCTACTAATTTCACTTGAATATATGAAATAGAGGTCTGGAATGATCATATCAATGATCTGCAAATATTCTTCAGTGGTCAAGGAGGTTTATCTGGACTAAAATTTATATATGTTATGTTCTTGTAAGTTCCAAGGATTTTCCTTTTCATTGTAAACTGCTACTTGGGTGCAGGCTGAGAGAGTTCCAGTGCCATTGCATCGAGCAGCTAAAGTGTTGATCAATTCTCAAATGCCAAATGGAGATTTTCCACAGCAGGTAATCTTTTGCATTTGTTATTCGTGTAGCAAAGTATCATCATATGGTGAACCCAAGCTGATTCTTCTTTAGAATTTGGATTTGTATTTCTTCTTTTGGACACGCCCTCTCCATTAGTTATGGTAAGGGTAAGATTGCATATACTTCCTCAAACCCTTCTAAAATGGATCGATGTTAGGAAATTTGGAGGTTGTATTTATGTCTTGCCTATTTTATTTTGTGTGATTTCAGTTATTATTGTTCCTAATTTTGACATTTCTGTATATTTTCATATTATACAGGAGATCATGGGTGTTTTCAACAGGAACTGCATGATTACTTACGCCGCATACAGAAATATCTTCCTGATTTGGGCACTTGTTGAATATCGCACTAAGGTGCTTAAGATCTTATGACAGTATGCCCATTTGATCAAATAATGTTCTTCCGAATGTTTTGTATCGTTTAAAACTTGAAAGTCTGAATGAAGGTTCCCTTGCACTTAAATTAGAAGCTGCCAATATTTCATAAAATCATGTAAATAAATTAACTATTCTTCCCACTTTGAATGGAAATTATTTATTCTTTCCCCTTCATTTTGTTTATTCAAATTGAGAAGTAAAACGGGGAGAGTGCTTCAGGAAGTAATCAAGTGAACGGAAAAGAAGGGTCTGCATTAGACTCACCATGCTAATCAATTTAATCCTGTACAAGAATCTGGTTATATTGCACAATCCTTTCACCACACCACATATAAAATCAAATATTAAACATATTGCAACTCATTTTCTTATACATAAAAGTACTATTTATACAACATTCATAGACCTATTTGTTTTGTGCAACAATTAACAAGTACTATTTATACACCATTCATAGAACTACTTAGTATTGCTACTAGTCTATTGTATGATAGTGCCATGTTTAACTAACTTTGGTGGAACTTGATTTGATTTCATACATTCGCCTATCAGGTACTCGACGATAAAAAAACAAAAAGAGAAGCTCACATCAATGATGTCCAAAATTATAGTCACTGTCATCATCACTAAGATTATCATTGATGGAAAAATCCAACCTTGCAGAAGTTTGTTTAGCCCATTTAACTATCTTTTCTGCTTCTTTATTAATCTTCTCTTCTTCTTTCTTTGCAATCTTCATCAAATCCTTCTGCTTCTTTGCCGAAAATGACCTCAAATCACTCAATATTTCATCATGTTTTTCCCCAATCATCACCCAACTCAAACGCCCTGTTTCGAGTACTACCACCACTATCACTCTTCTTCCTCGAAACCCGTTTCGGAGAACACCAAAAACAACCCGTTTTCACAGATTTTGTTGAAGTTTTCAACCCGGAATTCGATGACCCTGATGAAAAGTTTCCATCTTTACCCTTTTTAACACCCTGTTTTCCCCTGTAATTGGGAGAATTCAAGTACCCAGATGAGGAATTCGATGACCCAGAAGAAGATAAATACCCAGAACCAGATTTTCTGTCAGATTTCTTTTCCTTTTCTGGCTTAGGATTCAAATGGCTTAGGATTCATAGAAAGCATCTAACCCGACGACCCTTTTATAACTGAATTGACAGTCAAAATTGTCACCCCTACCTATTGTGAGTCTTCTCAACTTCTCAGAAGAATAAACTCCTTTACAGTCTACACTAGTTGGACACCTGATCCAATAATAGTTCCAACATTCGAGAATTTAATTCCTTTTTTCTTTTTCTTTTATTCATTTTTATTTCTAAAAAATTTATTATTCCTGACCAATTATATTCTCAATAATAAATTCCAATACCACTCCACTCCCAATAATAATTCTTCACTTTTTTCAACCTTTTTCCTCCGCAATCCCAATTCCCAACTTCTATTAAAAAATGCCTTATTCAAGTTCAAACCTTTTTCTAATTTTTAAGGAGAGAAGTCTTATGCTATAAATTTATTTCCACTTTAAATGATTTACACTTGAAATTAAAAGAGTATAAATCAAAAGGGTGTTTTTTTTTTTTTTTTTTTTTTTTTTGGGAGAGATTGAATGGAAGCCATTAAAAGGCAAGCTAACAAGCTCAAAGATCAAGTTTCTAAGCAACAACAGGTAATCTTTCTCAAAGATTTGATCTTTATTTCAACAATTTTTTACTATTCAACTGTTTTAACTTTATATAATTGTTTATGTATTTGCAATCATGATTTCTAACTACTTATGATCTGGGTAGCAAAATCTTGAATGATGTATTTAAATTGTACAGTACGGTTTGCTTTATATGGGTGTCTAGCTTTTAGTTTTTGCACTTATTTTGGTGTATAACTAGCTACTGAGGACATGTTATGTAGACGGGATTCAATCCCGGGTTTTAGGTATTATGGAATTACCAACTAAACTTGGTGACACACACTTTAGTTTTCGGAATTTAAGGAAGTATTACAGTTGAAGGAATCATCTTACAATTGATTAGTTTCTTAAAATTAATAGGGTTTGTCTGGTAGAATGTGGTTTTAAGAAGGGGAAAGGATTTACGAAGAGGGTACCAAAAAAAAGCTGGTAAAATGGTGTTTTCATTGTCCCTTTGATGACACAAGTTGAAAAGGTGATGCTAATTTTGTGGCAGAGAAAATTTGTTAGCAAGAGAGTTAATACTCATAATTAGTCAAGTAATAGAACACATTCTACTTTTTTTTTTTTTTTTAACAAATTTAGACCATGAATCCATATTTTATTGTACGAAGAACTAAATAAAATGAAAATTTAATGAATTTATATTCACAGAAATGGAATTATAAGATTAATTTTAAGCTGAAAACTATTAAAAATATGACTTATACTGTGAACTCAATTATTGTTGGAGTATATACATACATGAACAATCATTATACTGGCCAAATTAAATTTAACAAAGATTGAGGACTAATGGCATCTTCTACAGGCTCTTCTAAGACAGTTCGGGCACTTTGGTACCGAAGCTTTTGTAGTAAATGAAGCAGAGATTGCATGCCGTGACCAACTGCACAAGTTATATGCATCTACGCGAGAAGCCAAGGTATATTATATTGGCCTCTTGCCCTTTTTGTGAATGGTGAAATGATCTGCCTTCTAATTATGAACCCTTTGGAATCTGTGCTAGAAAATTTTCCTACAAATTCATTTCCATTTCCATCAACAAAAGTAATTGTACATTTTTTATGATGTTGCTTATAATTTTGTTTTGTGGTTAGCATTTTGAAAAGAGCTTAGTGCATGGCATAGAAGGGATTACATCAGTTACTTCAAAGCAAATTGAAATAGGTGGGCTTAGTTATACCTCCACAATTGTTGTTGTGTCTATGTGCAAGGTTTAAGATGGTAGTATGTCTAATGCAGAAAGAAAATTTGCTCAAGACTGTTGCAGATATGGAGCAGAAAGCCATTGTAGCACATCTCCTTTGACAGAAGCTGCAGCGCGTGTTGGTACCTCTCACAGTTCAATGGTAGAAGAGAAGGAGACCATGCTAGCAATATTTGATGAAAAGGTATATAGGGATAGCTGTGTATATTTCCATTGTACAAAACATGTTATGTAATCCATCCTTCCGTTCTTACATGTTTATCTAGTGTGCGGTGTAGAAAATTAACATATTTGAGTTGGTTTTCTGATGTAATTAAGTGCAATGGAGTTATTTTTTCTGATTGATCTTTTCTGGACTTGAAATTTGAAGATTCTGTTTCATTTTGATTATCTAGGTCTGTAAGTCATTGCAAGCACTGGTAAGAAGTGCTGAGCTTGAGGATGCTCGGCTTCTTGTACGTCGATATGACAAGTTATGGCAGGAAGTGGAAGCTCAGGTTGTAATTTTTATCTTAGTTAATAACTTTTCATTGGTTGATTGGAAGTCAATTAAGTATCCGCTATCTCTCCTCTAATGATATAATTGCCAGTAGTCAACGTACATTCTGAATCTTATATGGCTTCTCAGTAGGCAGCTGATGTACTAAGACTGAGGTCAAAGTCCACTGAGGGATCAAAATCTGAGGAAAACTCCATCAAACTTGAGAATGCAGAGGAAAAGTTGGATTATCTTAAATCTAGATTGATGGCACTTGGAAAGGAAGCAACATCTGCAATGCTGTCAGTCGAGGCACATCAGCAAAAGATGACTTTCCATCAGCTTGTTGTTATGGTATACTCTTTCTATTCCCCATCAACTGTTTCTAGCTGCATATTGGAACTCTGAATTCCTGTATCTTTGTCAACTTCAAACATCGTCAATAATTATTGAGTATAGTTTTATGCACAAGTAATCACATTAATTAGATATACCTTACATGACACTCCTTCCATTTCTCAATGTTTTATACATTTCCGAGATATTCCTTCCATCTTTGAATGTTTTACACATTGGGATTGAGCATGGAGTTTAAAAAATATAGCTAAATGTAGAATTATTTATTGGAAGTGCCGAAGTGGATAGAGAGAGAAAAATGGTTAAGAGAAAATAATGGGATGGAAAAGAAGAAATTATCTGTACCTCAAAATAGAAGTGTGAAGAACTTTTTCGGACAACCTTTATGAGGAAGTTTAATAACATTGAAAAATAGAATGATTTGGGATCATGTTTTAAGAGAGTGTCAGAAAGAAGCCACAATTGCACGTGCAGGCGTGCTTGGTTTTTTGTATTTTAGTAGCTACTGGGAGCGTGACATTATATAATGCCTCTGCATCCTACTGATAAATAAAACATATGATCAGAATGCTTTTGAGGCAATGAGTATATATTAGGTTAAATCTTAGGGATTAAGACTGAGGTCAATTGGTAATCTGTGACAGATGTGACCCCCCTAATTATGATCATGCACCTATCATCAGCTAAAGATTCTGATTTACTTCCATCAGATAGCATGAAAGGACTCTAGTAAGACTTGTACATTTAGCCTGTCAGAAATTTATCAAGAATTTAAATTGGAACAGATTAATGCTTCACCCTTTTTGCTTATTCTTTCTTGTTCATCACGGGATATATCAATTGAAGAAGATAGAGGCACTCAAAAACTGGATTCCCAGGCCTACATTTAGCCTTTGAGGCACTCTAAAAGATAATTATTTATTTATTTTTTTTTGTTTAATCTTTAATGTATTAGAAGATTCAGAGGATTCTCCAGCTTCTTTGGGTGGATTGAAATGGTTATTAGCCCCACCAGTCATGGGGAAGATTCATTTATTGAATTTACTGTTCCTTTCCTGATCTTTGTATCTTTCTAAGTTTCTTCATAAATGATTGCGGTAATGTATTATGGGTGTTGTAACTTGCAGCTGAATGCTGAAAGATCTTACCATCGCAATGTTCTTGCTATGTTGGAAAAGGTTCTTCCTGAGGTATGTAATATATCTCTTTTCTTATGCATTCAGTTGCTTAGTACTGTTGAGGGTAAAATGATATTGGAAACTTCTCTTGCTTAGTACGGTTGCTTGTTACCTTGCATTGATGCATGATGCTACATGCTTGTAAAAAATGTGTCTTAATCTTTGTTGTAAATTATTCTGGTATTTTAGATTATTCAACTGGAACAATTGTGCGAGTCATCACTGCCAGAAGATGCTACAGAGAGCCATTCAAATGGAAGCAAGGAGCATTACATAGAACAAGAAGATGATGCATGCTATGTTGCAAAAGTGAGATTGCTAAACTTGTCAGTATAGCTCTTCCCAACACCCCCCCCCCACCCCCCCTTCTCTTAATTCCCACAGAGAATGTTAATCTGCAATAAAGATGTAGTTATGCAGAAGAAAGAGAAACTAACAGCGGTAACACTTAAGATTCTCTACAACTATTATTAATGGTTCTAACACATCCTCTGCAGAACAATACAGTACAGCTTCCTAAGCTGCTTTTCATTTGGGGTTTAATTTCAAAATTTCAGCCAAGAATATCACAACTATCCTCACTATTTATTTGAATTTGACATCTCCACCAAATTTAGTTTTTATTTGGAATTCTTAATTGGTTTTCAGTAAATATAATGTGAGAAAGTTCAAAGTTTAACTTACTAGATTTATATATTCTGCTGTCAAAAACTATATATGTTCATTTTAAGCCATGTCTTCCCTAAGCTTTATTTTTTTTGTTAATGTCTTCTTTGTTTAATCTTATCTATTTCACAGGTTGTACACCCATTCGATGCTCAAGCTGAAGGGGAGTTAAGTCTACTAGCTGGTGATATTGTCGTGGTGCAGCAGGTATGTACTTCAATTGGTGGAGGTTTAATTTCAGTGACTTCGTACATGCAGTCATGCATATTACCGTCATGAGTATCAATTTGATTACATGTGGTGCTTTGTTTGTATTAAGGTGATTCCCGGTGGCTGGTCCAAAGGTGAATGCAATGGTAAGACAGGATGGTTTCCTACCCCTTACGTACAAAGGTTGGATGAAGTTTCAGAAGGCAACGTATCCTGGGCAAACCTTTAGCAGCCATAGTTCCTAGTTACCACTTAATTTTTGCTGTAAAATAAGTTATATAGCTTATTGTTTTTTATACAATATTCACCATCTTTTATAGAAGGGATCACAATATTCGAGGAGAAACTGTACAAAATCATGGGTTTTAAGTTTTGATGTTGTCTAAACATTGTGTAGCACAGTCTATGTACCAAGAAACAAGTAATTGGAATGATGTATAGTACACACCGATGGTATATAATTATAAATTTAGGGGCCAACATCTGAAAGATGTACTGACAAAATTAGGTGTATTTAATCATACATATGAGTTTTTCGCTTGGTTGAGCTTACGGCTTGGTTCAAGTTCATTAATGTGTGTAAAGATAATTAATCAAATAGACTAGTACAAGTATACATTGCTAATCACTAAATCATTGTGTTTGACAAGTTGACATGAAGTCTCTTTAGGGCTATGTTCTTCGGGCTTGCTCCCCCTACAAACCTTTACCAAAAATTGGTATTAAGGCCCGGTTTAGCTTGGGTTCATATGAATTACAAAGTACTCCGTTTATTATAGGAAGACTATGATATAGCAAAATTAGCAATGAATCCATGATTAGATGTTAGCTCATCTAACTTTATAACTTCTAAAAAGTTATCAGGTAAAAATAAGGCTTGTTTGGTTGAAGGTAGGAATTGCAAATTACTTGAAAATTTAATTTTCCGTTATTTGAAATTCCAAGGAAATAAATACTGAATAGTGTCTGGTTCATCAAGAAATTTTCTAAGAATTTTTACTTTCCATGAATTTGTCAACCCAACACCACCAAAAAGATTTTGATTTCTAAAAATTTTAATTTTCTGTGTATTTTTTTGTCAACCTAACAATACCTAAAACTCTATTCATTTATGAAAAATCTTCTTGATTGTAAGAAAATTTGTATTTTAAGTTGCCGAAATTGTTTATGAATATTTTAAAGATAAATGAGAATTAGTTGGAAACTTAAAATCATATCATTAGTATTTTTGGTGTTCCATCCAGGTGAATTGATTCACCCTTTGAGTTAATTCGAATTCAATTTTGAATAATTAAGATTTAGCCCCCTCCGAATTATTATCGGGATGGAACACGCAATCCTTTCAAAAGTTAACGCCTAGTACCCTATCAGTGAGTGGTTTGTACTGTATATTCTTTTACCCGCATTCACTGTCCTTCAACTCGATGATTTGATTAAATTTCTCTTGCCCTTCAAAATTTAACCCCAAGTTCAAGGATTTCAGTAGCAAACTATTAGTGGAAACTCCATTGTTAACTCTCTCTCATTTTAGAAGAGGTGAAGGTAATGCGTTGTTTTTTCCTCCTTTTCTTTTGTTGGATAGTTGATTTTATATGGAATAATTTTGAATTTAGATAAGAATTTCAGTTCTTTAATCTATGTAATTTTAATATCGGACAAAAAAAAAAATTTATGTGATTTTAATGCTTCAAATTAGTAGTTCATAAAAATGTGAAATCATTAGATGAAGTGTATTAATAAATTATGTTTGTTACCGAAAATAAAAGAGGTAGTTGCAAATTGCATTGAATTGAGGTTGAAGATAAAATGATACAGTGATTTCTGGGTTTTTATTTATTTATCATTACCAGAATTGAGGTTGAAGATAAAATGAAATAGTGAACTTGAACTTGTAATTTTTCTGGGTCTTTAATTGATTATTTTTTTTATTATATTGCAGAGGTTATTGTGAAAACTTGTTTTTGGAATATTGGGTTAAAGTGTTCATTGCAAATCTTGGATGAGTGTCCAAGTTTTTGATGGCCTTATTCTCAAATAATGGCTGCATTGATAAGTTATTACCTGTGGGTTCAAGAATGAACTCAGTAAAGCCACCACTCAATTGTCTATATCCTGCATTTGCTTGCCGTCGGCCTACTATTGTGTTTCCTCACAAGAGTCTTAGCTTTCCTAGGATAAATGCTTCATCAAATCGGCGATTGGATGTGAGTTCGTCAGTGTCTACCTCTTCCAACAAATGCCTGTGGTTCGAATTGCCTCGAGCATTTGTTAAGGCTTCTACCTCGTCCTTGATATTGGTCGCGCTTGGCATCTTTACCTTTTCATTTTCTAGTAAGACATCTAATGCCCTTGCTGCTGTTGATCCTGCTACATGCCCATCAGTTCAAGAGGAAATCGTTGCTGAAGGTGCATTTTAATTCTTGGTGTTCTCCTTTAATTTTTTTATTTCCATAGTTATTAATGTAAAGGTCAAAAGCGTGTAAAGGTGACATGGATTTGTATCTTTGCATCCTGATAATACTTCAGAAAGAGGTGTGCAAAATGTGGATAGTGAACAGCAGCGTGAAGAATTTGAAAAATGGAAATCCAAAACATATGCTTTGACTGTCCCTTTGAAAGTTGTTGCTCTACAAGGCTCTGTACCACCTGCCTGGATCAAGGTCTGTTGGTTTGTTTAGTAATCTGGCTGCACTGGCACCACCCCCCCCCCCCACAAACACCCACGCATCCAGTTGACAACAGCTGTGTACTATTTGGAACAGTAGATCGCTTACCATATATTTTAAACTTGTAGGATTTCATTCAGTCTCAAGGAAAGAGATTAAAGCTAAGTGTGCAGTTCCGTGGAACCCTTGAAGATGTTTATTCTGAACTTTCAAGGTCCATACTTAAGGAAGAAGATTCTCCAAAATCTGCCATCACAGCTGATCTCATTACTGTTGGTGACTCCTGGCTTGGTCTGTTGATCGACAAGTCTATAATTGAACCAATGCAAATGGCAGAGAATCATGATTGGTTTAAAGATCTCCCAGAAAAGTGGAAGGTAGAGGCATGCTTTAACTGGGAATTCTTTAGTTATGTTGTTTTTCCAGAAACCTTGAAATAGAATCCAAGTTGCTTTCATACATTTCTTCTAGTTGTTGATTGTTTGAGACTTTGAGTTAGGCTATTTTCTAATACTTTTGGCTTGTTGACTAGCATGACATAATATTGCACTTTTCTTTCAAGCTTATTGTGTTCCGTTCCTCTACAATTGCTTAGTATTATATTAGTCGAATAAAGAGGAAATGGTAGATCAAATATATAGAGAGATGAACACACTTCTGCAACGATTCTCTTCTTTTTCTTTTTCTTTTTTTTGAAACATGCAACGATTCTCTTCTGAATTGTTGTTTGATTGTTGGTTGACTTTTACTATTTTGGATCATCGTGCTGCTTGACTGTTGTATGCATGATCATACCAGTACTTTTTAAGAAATTAGGGTATATTTTTAAAGAGAGATAAATCACCTCTAGCCAACTAATGTGTAGACTGATACCTTTGTTGTTGATGCTGTTATTGAGAGGAAAATTAGCAAGGATTTAATTCCACCAAAGCAGTAATGCTTGGGTGAAAGAGTTCAAACTAATTCTAAAATCTAAACTACCACCGTATGGGCTGCAGTACAACAAAAGCATTAAAATGTATATAGATAGTTTACATGTTAGGTGATTTGAGGCTGATCTGAAGAATTTTCCTCTGAAATTTCTCCTTCTATTTTTCTAGCAGGATGTTTGTTGCACAGGATTGGAATTTTTTGTTTTAATAATACTATATCTGTGATTTATTTTTTAAGGTAAGGAAAAGGAAGACATTAGGAAGCCCTCTTCACAAGGGAAATTCCTAATATATTTTATATTTTCTGACATTGGTAATACTACTTAATCAAGAAATCTTGTTGAAAAAATCTTGCCCAGATACTTGCATGAGTTGCATCTTTTTTCTGTACTGGTCAGTAGAGTGACTGATTGCATGCTCATTATTGCTTTGGAAAGTCCCGGTATTTATTTCGTCACTAATTTTTATCAGGGGATGAATTTTTGTGCAGGCATAAGAGTATATGGCCTGCTCATATTGTCATTGCTTACATTTACTTACGTAGTTGTAGGCTTTCTTGCGTAGGAATAACAAAGGGAAAATCGATCCTGAAGGTAGAATATGGGCGGTACCGTATAGATGGGGAAGCATGGTAATAGCATACAAGAAGAGCAAATTTGACAAGCTTGGACTTGCTCCGATAGAGGTTAGTTTCGAAGAATTTAACTGCTCAGTTTTTCATAGTGAAAATTGAAAACGAGTAAATACACCCTTGTAAAAGAAAAAGGGGAGGGGGTGGGGGGGGGGTGGGGGTGGGGGGTGTACAGGGTAATGTTTACTGAAGAAATGCTGGTAAATCTGCATTACTTTCTGTCATGGATTTGCTGTAGTAGTTGCAGTCTGTAAGCTGTGTTGATTTTAAGCCAAGACATCGATTAGTTAAAAAATTACCCACTTATGAGTTATAACTCGCATTTTTATAACTAAAATTCCAGGAACACTAATAACATATGATAGAGGGACAATATAGACTATCTGCATTCATGCTTGTAAAATAATAATTCAGGCTCCTACAGTGAACTTTAACATTCTCTAAATACTAGAAATACACATGCAATGCATGTCATAAACTTGCGCTGCCACTCTCTCATGCATATTTTCTCACAACTGTTGTCCATTGATACTTGCTAAGTTGCAATTTGTCACTTGGAGTATTTCAAATTGAATGTTCTCAATTCTCCTCTTTGCCCACCTCCCCTTTTTTTGCTTGTACTCTCAGCTTTCAGTGTATAGCTATTTTACAGTGAGTGCCGTTGCAGGATTGGAAAGATTTATGGCGTCCCGAGCTTGCAGGAAAGATTTCTATGGTGGATTCGCCTAGAGAGGTAATAGGAGCCGTGTTGAAGTATATGGGAGCATCTTACAATACTAGTGACATCAGAAAAGAGATTCCTGGTGGTACAAGTGCTGTACAGCAGAATCTAGATCTACTTGCAAAACAGGTATTGAATGCTTGGATTGGTGGGCAATGCTGAATGAATGATGTACCTTTTCTTGTTAATGGTGAACTATAGTCTATGTTCTACATGTGGCAAAATATACAAATGAATAATTGGATTAAGATGGCATTCATGGGCATGACTGTATACTATAAAAATATTGCCCAATTTTTTAGTAATTCACCCTTGTTTAAAATCTTAAAACATTATTTATGTAGACTAAGGCAGTTTTTCCTTAAACTATTAAGAGATCATGTTGGATAAGACAAATGATGGAGTTTTATAGGGTAAAGAAGAAGGATCTTCATATGGTCTTTATTGATTTAGAGAAGGTATATGACAAGGCGCCAAGAGAGGTACTTTGGTGGGCAATGAAGAAAGGTATCCCACGAAGGTACGTGGACCTGGTTAAGGATATGTCAACAAATGTGAGGACATGTGGAGGGTTGACAAAAGATTTTCCTATTACAATTGGATTGCATCAAGGGTCTGCATTAAGCCCTTTCCTTTTTGCAACGGTCCTAGATGAAGTACTAGACCAATTCAAGATGAAGTCCCATAGTGTATGTTATTTGCGCATGATATTGTTTTGGTGGATGAAACTAAAGATGGAGTTAATGCCAAGTTGGAGCAATGGAGGCAAAGGTTGGAATCTAGAGGGTTTAAGATAAGTCGGATTAAGACTGAATATTTGGTATTTTGCTTTGGTACTCAGAGGGGGACAAGCAATGATGTGATGAGTTTGGATGGAAAGGACTTGACCATGAGTGATTGTTTTAAATATCTTGGGTCGATCATCCAGAAAAATGGAGACATTCATCAAGACGTGGCCCACGAGATTAAGCTGCGGTGGCTTAAATGGAGAGCGGCCACGGGAGTTTTATATGACCGAAGCATTCCCTTACAGTTGCAGGACGGCCATAAGACCAATGTTGTTATATGGTACAGAATGTTGGGCTTCTAAGAAGGAGCACATTAAAATGATGAAGGTTACGGAAATGTGCATGTTAAGGTGGATGTGTGGGAACACTCTAAGAGATAGAATCAAAAATAAGGTTATTCGCAAGAAAGTAGGTGTGGTAGGCATTGCAGATAAATTAAGGGAAAATCGTCTGTATTGGTTTGGGCATGTAAGACGGAGACCCAAGGGTGCACCAGTTCAAAGAGTGGAAGAGTGGGACCATGGAGGGGTTAAATGAGGGAGAGGGAGACCGAAAATGACTTGGTTGGAAGGAGTTAGGAAGGATATGAAGTATATGCATTTGCATGAGGATGAGGCATTAAGGGATTGAGGAGGAGGATTTTTGTCGATGACTACACGGAATAATCAAATTTGGTTCATGTAGCCGACCCCACTTATGGGATTAAGGCTTTGATTGATTGATTGACTGACTGACTGAAAGGGCATCCTTACAATTTTAAAACAAGGCTACAATGCTGCATACAAATCTGGATTTACACCAACTTTATCCTAGGTGGGATCCTGATTATTGGCATTAGGATATTGGTAGCTTGACACCTGTTTTTTATAAGCTCCAACACTTAAGATTCTGTTTCATATATTCTTCTTTCAAAAGGAAGTTGTATTAATTTCTCCTATATATAATTGGCTTGTGATCTGCTGCTTTTAAGCATCTTGGAACATACTCCCTCACCTGGAAATAATAGTCACATTCCCCTGACCCATCATAAACGAAAGACCCTTTGTAACAGTTAGACAATTCTCAATATCTCGTACTCTTCCTATTACTGAATCTTGGTAAGGGAATAATGGTAAAAACTAATTACAAACAATCACAACGTTAGGAAATATGAAAACTATTTTCTGGACGTCCTAGGTGGTATACATGAAATTTATTATTTTCAGGAGGAGGGAGTAGCTTTATTTTCCCTTTTGCTGTGTTATTGAAGAATGGTGTTTCTTGTTTGATAGTATCACTGACGCCCTCCATTCTGCATCACTTTATATGTAGGTCTTGTTATTTGACAGTGGAAACTACCTGAAGGCATTCAGTGTAGGTGATGCTTGGGTGGCTGTAGGATGGAGTAGTGACATCCTTCCTGCTGCCAAGCGAATGTCAAATGTTGCAGTTATTGCTCCAACGTCAGGAGCCAGTTTATGGGCAGATCTGTGGGTATGTTTCTGCAAGAGTTATTTTAGAACAGTATCCTAAATTTTAATATCTTATTTGAAATGTGATGGTTTGCATATCGTGAACTAAACTCCCTATTTGATTTATGGTATTTATACTTAAGCTTACTGATCGTGCAAGTAAGTTTGCTTAATGTTTGATAAAAATACTTTTCAGACCTCCCAAATGGTTAACAGGAAGATTATTTGGAGATAGAGAGACTATTAGTTATAATTTAGCTTGATCATGAAATAGATATATGTATCCTCATACTGCTCTTTTGACTTCATTGCTAATATAAGTCATCTTGTATTCCAATGTTCAGTCTGTGCTAAGATTTTGACCATAATGTGATTTTGTTGCAACTCTGTCACAGAATAAGTTGCCTATGTGTAATCTTCTGATAATACTTTTTTGTACAAATCAACAATGTAGGCTGTGCCAGCTACAACTAAATGCTTGCCAATGGAAAAACTTGGAGGGCGTATCAGAGGGCCGTCTCCACTAGTTCATCAGTGGTTAGACTTCTGCCTACAACCTGCTCGAGAACTTCCATTCAAGCAAGGGGTTTTTCCTGGTGCAATGCCATCTGCCTTAGAAAATGTACCTTCTGAAGTCCTTCCCAAGGGCGCCCCAAAGCTGACCACAAACCTGATATCTGGAATTCCACCGCCTGAAATCTTACATAAATGCGAATTCTTGGAGCCATTATCTGAATCAGCATTGTCTGACTATGAATGGTTGATTGCTACTTTAGAGAAACCTAGGCATGGGTTCGTACAACAAATTTTCACAACTGCATTTCATGCTACCAAGATGAAGCTACTATCATTGAGAAAGAAAATTGATGATTGAGGTGCTCTATTTGTGTAAGAGCGGAAGGAAACGACATGTTGTATTGTACTTGTAATCCGTGTAAATTATTTATGATGTTTAATTCAGCAATTTTCAGTGATCTCTTCCTGTTTGGCTGCCTTAAAAATGGTGTGTTCATCAATGGTAAGGACTTCTCTTTTATATCATGGTGACAGGCATTTGTTATCTCACGAGTCTAGCTTCCCATACACATCGCATCAGCCTAAAGGGTGTGGATGTCAACTAATTTAATTGGCTAAAATTTGGAACAGTGGATGTTTTGGTACTAAAAGAGAAAATGACGAACTGCCAATCCCACTGGAAACAAAAAATAGGAAAGTACATCACTATCTCACGACCTGTTTTGTTAGAAGAAGTTCGATGACGTATTTTGAGCGGTCAACAAAGGATACAATATAAGGGCTTGCAATTTTACTCTTTGAGTTTTTTTTTTTTTTTTTAAACGGTAAACTATGGGGAGGGCCCTCCACCCTATTACAAGAATGGGAGGCTATGAGGAATTGAACCCCCATCACATGGGGGGAAGATGGAGGGATCTCCTCATTCCTCTTTTACTCCAGAGTTTGGCAGCCATTATTTAAGAATTATTTCAATAATGCATTTGGACAAACTCAGGTGGTTTTTGGATTCGGGAACGTCTTATACTTGTTTGATATCAGTACTAAATACTTCGTAGTTCTTTAGCATCTGAGACTCACGAAGGCAGATCAGTAGAAACTGTAATGGGACGCTGTTGATGGTAGGACTAGGTGATGTGATGCCAAAAACACATAATAGCACGGCCTTTTTTTTCTTTTTCTTTTTTTTAAGAAGACATAGCACGGGCATGGGGATAGAGACTGCGGTCACTGCGTGATATGTACCGAAATTTGCAGTCGCAAGATATGATATGATTATTACGAGGGGTTTGCAGAAAAATATATTGATGTTTGCAAGGGTAAACTCAAGAGGATTAAGGGATCAAGATAGTATACATGTTTTGTTATTGAACTCTGCAAAGAAATTTCTAGGAACCCGACATCTAAAATTAAGAGTATGGGAAGTGGATTAATAGATTTCTGTGAACTTTAATCTTGCTACTTTCAACAGAAAGACAATTGCTACTCCTAATGGAGCTGATAATGAGCTGAATTATATAAAGGATGCAAACCAACAATAACATCAACTGAAAAAGAGCGTAAAAAAATAATTGCAGCAGAGAGGATCAGTAAAGATTAAAGACAAGCTTGATAGCCGCCAAAAACTATGCAACTATGGCAATGAAGTACAGCAATAGTCGATAACTGAGTCCCAAAAACAAGAAATGCTGATAAACTAATTATTCAGGTAATTTCTACTTTACAAAGATGACAAACAAGTAACAGGGTAATCATTTATGGCCAGTAGTGTCTCAATTTGTACAATAAGTATATACACTTCAACAAATGTTGGAGGAAAAAAAAAAAACAAAACAAAACTATGGTAAATAAATGGATTAACTGCACTCACACAATTTGTCGATACTCAATTTATCCCAATCCTAATCACGAATGGCAAAATTCCACCAGAGAGCTTCCTGTGGGAACGTCATCTTGCGGAGAATGGCTACTTCCAATTGCCTCAGAGCTCAGAAAGAATGAACAAAATAGCAAATGCTGTTTTTGCCACTGCATCACTCCCTCTGCTCTATAAGAAGTCGCTAGAGAAGAGAAAAATCCCAACACACTGCTCCTCCCATAGCTCAATCAGAATTTGAATCATAAAAATCACTAGGACATGGCGTCATCACTTCAGATTCCAGTACTTGAACTACTCTATGCATGGTTGGTCGATCTTCAGGAGATGAAGAGACACATTGCATAGCCATTGACAACAGAGCGTCAAGGCTTTCCTGCTGCACCCCTTCACAATGTTGATCAACTATCTCTCTTTGTCTATCCTCCGTCACTAGAAAATTCAACTGCAATTAAAGTTGTGTATGAGTGTGCTATTCTACATGTGGAATCTTAGCAAAAAAAAAGGGGGGGGGGGGGGGGGGAGGGGGGGAAGCATATTGCATATATGTGCAAACCTTTTTAGATATTTAAAAAAGAAAGGATGCACATAACATAAAATTTATGAAGTTGTTGGGCATGTTCAATAAATCATGAACTGGACCAGAAACATAGTGGGGCATATCATAATATAGATAATTGTCTCATAGAAGGTTTGAAATAGCCACAGTTTTTAATCACAGATAAATGCCCAACAGCCAAAGTACAGTAAAAATCAGAAAACGTTAGAACATGAGCATCTGAAAGTTATTGCATACCCAACCAACGATATTTAGACCCTTTTCAATGAAAGAGGCATCTGTTGGACGTTTTCCACTCAAGACCTCTAGAACCAGAACACCAAAGCTATAAACATCAGTCTTCTCAGTAGCCCTCCCACTTTGCATATACTCTGTAGGACAAAGTGAAAATTCAGTTAATTAAAAGAGAATAGCAAATAAGTTTGCTGCTAGTAAAATTAAAACACAATTTTTATAGTCAATTATTACTTCACATGATACAGAGCCACAAAGGTAAAAACTATTTTCCAAGGCATACACTCATTTCAGTTCCACACAAAGTCATCACTAAACTCTAGATACAAACCAGGCTCCTCATATCAACAAGAAAATGCAATATCTAGGGGGTCGTTTGGCCATCAAATCCACAAAAGGAAGAGGCTTAAATTCTTGATGATGCAAATAAAACCAAACTCTAGGGCTGCCCACCACTCCACCAGCCTTAGGCTCCTTATTCATTTTACCCTCTTAACCTGAGCTGGATGTGCTGATTCATTATCAATAGTTACAAGCATGCAAAAAAAATGGATATCAAATTTATAGTCCACTATGTTATGACCACATGAAGCATCATTATATATACTTCCTCCGTTTTTTTTTAGTTGCATCACTTTGTAAATTGCGGACTCCTAGGTAATTTTTGGAGACGAGAGAGATAGAGAGAATAAAAAAAATGGACCCATGTGATAGGAAAGAGATAGAGAGAGTTTATTAACTAAAATCGAAAGTAATGCAACTAATTTGAAACTTCCGTTTTAAGAAAAGTGTGCAACTAAAGAGAAACGAAGGAATTACTATTATTGATCAGTCAACTAATTAACGAAAGAGAAATGAAGGGATGGGAAAGTGAGGGATACATTTTCCCTAATTTGGATATAACAAGGGAAGGGAAAGAAATGGAGGGATCCGTTTTCCTTCCCCTATTTATAAACCAAATATTTCCCTCCCCTCACCTCCCTTTCTTTCCTCTTTTTTACTTCCTCTACATTTCTCTTTACTATTGTTATCCAAACATAGTGGAAGTCTCAATTTGTAACGAATAGTCGAATACCACAAAAATGTTCTGTATTAACTATAGTATTGGATGCCACAAATGAACAAAAGAGCCATAAAAAAACAATTTATCCCAAAGAGCCCTCAAGCTAAGACATTCCAATCCTACCACCATCATTGGATTTAAGAGTCTCCAGTTCTCCACCACTGCTTCAGCCTAATATACTTGAAAGAAAAGGGGGACTGGACAGATCATTGCAGGAACAATGCAGGGTAGGAGGAGTGGGAGGGGAGGAGAGAGAGGAGAGGTGTGGGGAGTCTGTGCAAAAGAGAGTTAGGAATCAAGAAACAGGAATTGGATGCCTATTCATCTGGCTCTTGAGTAAACCTTGCCACAATTCAGCAGAACTGCTGGCCAAAATCTTAATTGCAAAGGACACTTGGGCATGATCCTTCCAGAATGATAGGTGGATCACCACGAACCGGTTTAACTTTCATACCATAGAGAGTTTATAGAATTGTTTTCTAAATAACATTAAGAATAACACCAGATTGGAAAGCTTCCATACCATTATAAGTGGGATTGAGATACATACAGCTTAGTATAAATCACGATGTATGTGGGTTAGGGGAAAACAGCACAGTCTAATACATATTTAGTCTATAACTAGTACAGAGAGTATTTGTGAAACACCCACACAAAAAGCATCTTCAGAAACAGAATTCCTTTGTATTGTGCAAAAAGAAAAATATAGGATACTAGAAGATATATAATGCTGATGATCTTACAAAATATATGCGCCAGAAACAACTAGTGATAAGTGTAAGTCTAATTAGATGTGATATCACATCAAGCCTTCACATGAACTTTTTCAGCATTAGAAAATTTTCATCAAATATGGTTGGACAGTTGGACACTGGCAACATAAAATGATAAAATCTTGTAGAAAAGGATAAGCAGATAATTTATTCATGATATTTAGGTTGAGTTAGTGTCTCAGGATTACCCACCAGGAGCAAGATAACCAAATGTTCCAGCAACAATTGTTGTGATGTGGGATTCCTCATCCTCCAACAACTTAGCCAGTCCAAAATCAGAAACACGGGCCTCAAAATTTGCATCAAGCAATATGTTGCTCGACTTAATATCCCGATGAATTATGCGAGGGGAGCAATCATGGTGCAGGTAGGCCAGCCCTTTTGCTGCCCCCAAAATTACATTCAGGCGCACATCCCAGTCCAGCAGCTCAGATTTCTCTGTAAATCCATCATCACCATCACAGGAAGTACAATTAGAATATCTAGAAAGCGCAAAAAAAAAAAAAAAAAAAAAAAAACTTTCACATAGCACAATTTTATATATATCTATATATAATTCGTAAAAATTGGAGGGTGAATATTTAGCACAATTTTAACTTCAGAATACAGAAGGTACAAAGGTTAAACAAAATAAATATAAAGGTTTAAATGTTTTCTATTATTGCTATCACAGATCCCAAGACAAACAGATAAATTGCATCACCAATGAAAGGACACATGTCTTCTATTGATCACCTTGAGTCCTCTTATGATTACATTCTTTCTTTTTTCACATAAAATTGCTGTCATCCCACCATTCCACCAACCCCAAATGACAGATGGGGATATCTTTTCAAGTGCTGTATTCTCTATAATTCTGTTAATGGACAAACAAAACAAGAGTATATGAAAATCCCTATGGTTAAGACCCATAATCAACATGACCACATGGAACATTGCTCTATCATTAGTTTAAAGCATTATATAATGAGTTGATGACAATCAGTCAATCATGACAGATTTGATTTGAGTTTTTTGATGAAATCCCTTCAATAGATTTCCCTTCATATATTTTATATCAGACAAACATACTTCCCTCTCACTTTATATTGTCAATACCACCAAAAATACTTTACAACCCCATTCCACAAATTATTCCAATAACCTCAAAGTATAAGCCCAGTTGTTGATCCCTCTACACAAGCTACCTGCCTCCCCCAAACTGAGTAACTCCCACTCTCGTCCTATTCCACAGATCCAAAATGTCAAACTCCACTATTGACTATTCTTCCAAAGGACATATACTTTGAATAACGAAACTGGGAAAAACCTAGCATTTGGCTTACTTAGGAATCCCGTGTGTATAGGTGAGATTGGCCAAGGAAACTCATCTATTTGCCAAAGAACAAGGCCAACAAGCTCCAAAAAAAAACTTGTCCCACAGAGTATTAACAAGGAAGAAATAAGGAAGAAATACTCTGCCAACAGTTTTTAAAATATTAACATCAAAATAAACCCAATGCTCTTACAGAGGAACCTGCCGATGGCAAGCTAAGGGAGGATGAAACATACACAGCTATAACCCTACAATGATACAACAATAACAGAAAGGTCCCATATCCTTAATCTGAAACAGAGTACCCATCTGCTAATTCATAATCAGGATTAACAAAGAACCCTAAACAGCTTGATGAGCCAATGTATTATAATCGATAATAATCTAAATACAAGAGAGTAACAAATAACTAAGCTCCAAAAGAGTTGGACAACCAACCCATCAGGTTTTTCTAACTCAAAACAAATGAACAATTTGCTTTAGCCTTTAGCACATGGACCCCAAGAGATTAAGAAACATTTCTGTCAATCAGCATACAAAGGGCTTTGGAATCATTTTCTAAACTGAAACCTTCTTCAGAGTCTACCTCCTTGTGAAGACCATCTTTCATCACTATTAACACAACATAGACTCAAAACCTGAATTTTGCTGTGAGTCAATACCACCCACAATACCCCTGGGTAATGCAAGTTGGTTTCAAGTCTTTTACACACGAACACATCATTACAGTATCATAGTCTCCAAGAGCACCATTAATAGGGTCCTAGGTACTAGTTAGCAATCTCAGTCATATAACAAAGTATGTCTTTTAACCTCCCACACCTCAGCAAATCTCCTGGTTCAATAGGATTACCAAAATATCTACTTATTCCACTTTTGTGATTTTGATCCAAATTACCAAAAATTTATTCCTCGCTTGAATAGAAGAGTGGGGTTCTAATTATATATATAAATAAAGCCTTCCAACATCCATCTCAATTTCAAACTATAGCAAAAAAAATTATCAGTTCACAGAGCAGCTCTACGAGAAAAATGGTCTATGACTTGTCTGGTTATTAGCACAACTCCAAATGTACATGAATAAGAAGAAATTTAGTTTTCAATGCATTTTTTTGGCTATCTAGTGGATGTTGTGGATGGATATAAATAACAGGATTTGTCCAGAGAGGATCACACATAGCATTTCTCGGTGGTAGTCTACTCTGCTTGACTTTTGCATTAGGAGCCAACATCACTCTCTCTAGAGGTTAGAACATTTTAGAGGCCTGCCCTATCATAACGCATAGCATACATTTGATCATAGTACACTTGAAAGCACAAGTTCCTTGATAGAAAAAACTCTTTATTTCCCCTTTCCTTATTCAAGCACTCAAACCAAAACACAAATTCATTTAAGGAACGCATTGGCCTAGCAAAGGCTGAGGTAGGTTTAATTGTACACAGTAACAGTCTTAAACAGAGAAGATGTCTTCAACTAACCCTTTATTTGAAAAGCAAACATCTGATAAATATATAAAAGCACTATATGTATGATATATTGCAAGCCATCAGTATGTTTGCATGAATCTTTATTAAACTAGGATGAACTAAATCCTATGCAAAAACATGAGCATATAAAACCTCAACAGTCAACATGACAAGGTGGATTACAAATTGATATCATCAGCCATTTCATGGGATAAAAATAAAACCCCTATATTGGTCCATAAACACAGGTAGTTTACATGTTATTAGACATGGTCCAAATAGATGAGAATGTATAGATATCTTACCATGAAGTGCTTCATCCAAACTACCTCCAGGTAAATAATCATATATCAACAATTTTGATAAGGGTGAATTGCAATATCCTCTAAGATTTACAAGATATCGGTGTTTGATGCTCCCAAGAATTTCGAGTTCCCTTTCAAAGAATCGGTCAAAACCATCATTCAACTTTACGATTCTCTTCAATGCAAAGACATTACCATCATCCATAGCCAGTTTGTACACGGTACCAAAGCCACCACAGCCAATTATGTGTTCCTCATTTAAGTTCTCCAACTTCTTAATAATGTCTTTTGAAGAATATGGAAGGTCTCCATGAAACATCACAATTGATGCACCTGAAGCAACAAAAAGCATGAATTTATACACTCAGAATATTGTAAGTGCAAATCAAAGATGATAAATCTCAACAAGGATACATAAAATTTGTAGATAGCCCACAACAGAACAGCACCTCCACTAACATCCATTGCAAGACCTTTGGCATCATTTTTACCAAGCTTCTTATACAAAAAGCATCCCCAGAAACACATTAAAGCCACCAAAAGTAAGGCTCCAACAGTTGCTGATGCGCTAATAAGTAGTCGGCCCGAATACGGCTTCTTGCCATCACCTTGACCTACATGGTATGGTTGAAAATGAACATACGCACAAGGGATGAAAAAAAAAAATAGAAGAATAAAAATAAGCTAAACCAAACAAATGTGATCTGCTCCATGACAATTGTGGCTTTGATTTAAACAGGATGTTAACCAAGATATGCCTTTTAAATGCATGAATTCTAACACTACAAATAAAATAAATGCTCACATTTGCACATTCAAGATTACCTGGAGAACTACCTGGAATTCCTCCCGTCCCTCCATTCTTGCAAGCCACATCAATTTGCTTACCGCAGAGGCCACGATTTCCTACAAAACTGCATAAGAGAAAATATTACGCACAGAAATTGAAAAAAAGGAAATATTATTTGTAGCTGAGAACTGCAACATCAGAAACAAAATTTCCTTAAAATTTAACCCACACAAAAATTAGAACAGTTGGATACATCAGATCGATGTGAAACATCAAGAAGCCTAGATACTGCAGTCCTGAAATTACAAACTCCCAAATACAGGATACTTGCAAGGTTGAATCATGGACTAGGTTGTTTAAAACAGGAGGAAAGAAGGGGCAAGAAGAGCATTAATGTCTTAGTCTCTTAGGTAAGATGTAAGAGTATAGTTAACCATGACAACAAGAGCAAAGCTCAGCAAGCAATGCATGATAACTTATAAACCTAAGTGGACAAAAAGAGACATAGAACATAGCCATCTGAAAAGAAATCAGGAACATCAAAGAATCTCAAATAGGAATTAAACAACAGCATACTTACGAGTCTTGAGCAAACTTGGCAAGTACACCATCTGACGGTATGGGTCCAACCAGGAAGTTCGTAGACAAATTGCTATGAACATAAGGACATCAGCTCAATGTTGATTCCATACAATTACATGAGCACCTATCTTTGAATTTGTTCAGATACTTACAAAGCAGTGAGTTTGTTTAGTTGTCCAAGTGAAGGAGGAATTGATCCACTGAGTGAATTGCTTGATATATCACTGTGAACACAAAAAACAATCACTTATTATTAATAGTTTAAGAAGATGCATCACCTATTAAGTGTTGGAAAATTCACAAGACAGAAAGCCAAGGCTCTACAAAATCAATTTCAAAAGCGGAAAATTGATTGTGTGCGTACAAATATTAGGTACAACCTATATAAAAGTTTTGAATATAGCATTTAGGAGATGGCACATCAGATAAAAAGACAAAAACTACCTAAAAGTTTCATTTCCTTGGTCACACTTACATACCATCATACATCACTATCCAATTAGTTACGATCCCAAAATACATGTATATATACACAATAAAAACCCAGTGTGAGCTCTCACTGAGGTGCAGATCAACAACCAGTTCACCAAATGACCTTGGAGTTGGTCACAATTATGACAAAAACATGAAAGAACTAAGCTTCTTCCACTATAGAAAGCAGCTGATGGTGTACAGCTTCAAGAAAGAACAAAAATTGAATCATATGAACAGAACATCCAGGAAACAAACATAAGAGTATAGTTGAAAATAACTTACAGAGATTGAAGCCCGGTAAGATTCCCCAGCTCGCTAGGAATCTGTTCACTTAAATAGTTGCCTTGCAGGTATCTGTGAATTTGAAGAGAGAAGCATTACCACACAGCAGTATACCACATATACTAAAAATAATTAGATCAACAAAAATAACTTAGCAACCAAATCCTCAACATTGACATTTCCCAACAAAATACTTCAGCATCAAGTTCATACAATCCGAAGATAACTAATGAGGAGCTATACTTTCATCACCCTCTTTACGTCTTCTGAATATTGTTACTCATGACAATTATGTGAAGAAGCATACGTTTGAACCCCTTCTACTGGACAAATTTGATGAATCACTTGACAGCGATGGCGGAATGGCTTAGAGATCAGTGACTTGAAAACAAGAACGTTACCCAGAGTATACTAGAAGTTGTTAATATCAGCAATTTGTATTTTTCAGTATATAATACCATCTAGTTTCAATATCTTGGCTCTTTTGAGTGCAATTGAAAACATTAGGCATTATTCTCTTTAGAAAAATATGCAGTCCCAGCTAGATTATTGCTAAGAAAATACGAACTACAGAGATACCAAAAACCAACTAGACCAACATCTTATCTGCATCAACTTTTAATAAAGCTCCAATTATCCATAGTTCTTAACCAAGCCTGGTAACACGGAAATTTGATATTCTTATTTTCTACTAAGGTGGGGTGGAAGGAGTTAGGAAGGATATGAAGTATATGGATTTGCATGAGGAGGAGGCATTGGATCATAAGGGATGGAGGAGGAAGATTTTTGTGGATGACCACACAGAATCAAATTTGGTTCATATAGCTGACCCCACTTATAGGATTAAGGCTTTGATTGATTGATTGATTGATTTTTTTTCTACTAAGCAGGAAAGCCACGGATACTGCACAAACAACGAAGAGAAAGCAAGACAAGCTACACAGCCTACAAACACACTAGATTACTTAGATACTTCGCCAAATATGCTTCATCCGCCACATGCTATCCAAATATAGACCAAAGAGGCAAAGAGATGCTCATAACCAACAGGGCCAACATTGAGAATCTACATCGTCTGTTAAAAGCTCCTATGATCCAAAGTTCCTAACCAACTGAGGTAACAAAAAATTTGAAATCCTGATGATCTCCAAAGCAGGAAAACCATGACTCATGCTAGATACTTCTCCAAATTCTCTTTGTCCAACACTTATAATCCAAAATCTTTCACTTGCAAGCAGCATTGTCAAAGTTGTCTAATTACATGATATACTCTCCAGCTGAACAGTGTCAAAAATTTCCTATCTAGTTGCATCCTTCCTTACAATAATAAGTCTACTCCCTTAATAGCATGTAAATGGACATTCGTCGATAAATGGAACTGCTCCGCAAAAGCAAAGGATCCTCCTTGTTTACTTATTACAGAACTTTTTAGACAAGAACTCAAGAATTATATACCTATTATGTGTCCTTGATTACACCTGCTTACACTAGGACACTAGTGAGCAGTCTCAACACTGCCCATCCAATTTGACACAGAATCTTTAACTTGATACCATACAGAGGGTAAAATGGCAGCCACCCAAATACGACAAATTAAAAGTAACAAAATAAATAGCTCTGTAACTTACAGTACTTGCAGCCCTGTACAATTTCCCAGTTCTGAAGGAATTTTTCCATAAAAATTGTTGTGATTAAGTTCCCTGGAAAACAGGCAAATGATGGAAATTAATTTTTGTTAATTACTAATATCTAAGACAAATGTATATGATAAGACAATTTATCTGCCATATTCATAAAAGTGTACAAAACAACATTTTTAGAAGACAAATCATCAACCAACATCCTAGCAAGCTAGCACTATTCAATTATCCGAGTATCACATATCATGACATTCAACAAAGCCCGATTCCTCTTTGTTTTTGCATCAAACACCCTCTATGCACTGTCCTCAAAATTACCATACCCAACAAGCATACATGTTCAAAAAACATTTCTCTCAGGCAATTCATTGAACACCTTATGTGCGTCCTCAATTGATTTACATTTCCCATAAAAATCATCCAATCTTGAACCCACATTTACATCATCCTTAATCTCCATTAACAACCCATGAAACCCTACCCCAAACAAAACAAAACAAAATTATAAAAATCTCAATTCCTTGGTATCTTAAAACTCACGATACTCGCTCTTTTTTAAAACAAACTAAACATAAGTATTTTAATAATTCATTTTCTTCTGGAATTGCATACTGAAACTGAACTTTCATCTAGTTTTCTAGATTTGCTGCAAAGATTTGAAAAACAAAAATATATCTTTAGTACTATTAATCCAAGCACCCACCAAAAGAAAAGGGAGGGTAAAAAATAACACGTTACCTATGAATTGCTTATATGAGTGAGTTTATTATGGAGGTTCCCATTGTAATTTGCAACAGAAATCCTTCAATTAGAGTTGAAATTTGAAGGCTGATAGGATTTAATCAATTAATTTGAGGATTGACAATGACATTTGAGGAGAATTAAAAAGAGAGAGGAAAACAAAGTAAATAAGGAGGGAAATCGGGTGGGAAAAACAATGATAAATCTTCATTTGGTCATGTGGCTTGCACAAGGGACGGTCAACGCCTGAAAATTTTTGGTCAACAACTAGAATCTGGATAAGGTGCCATAATACAACAAAAAAGTATAATATAAGGTAGCTTAATACATTTTTAATATTAAGTAGTTTTTCACAAAAACTAGTTTTTTTAAGGTACTTTCTCAAAAACTTTCCTAATAAGAAATTCATATATAAAGGTATATACACATATGTAGTTCTAAACAAAAGCAAAAGAATGAAAAGAATCTTTGTGGATGACCATGAGAGAAACATAAGGCTTTGGTTTTATTGATGTTGTACATAAAGTCACAAATTCATCAATACATGTGTGTCTAATTAGGTATATACATGAACAAATGCACATAAAATTATCCTAAATTAAATTATTAAGGACAAAAGCTAAACTAGAAAAGGAATAAAACCAATAATGAAAGTCAAGAGAGTTGCTTACAGGATCTCCAACTGGTCAAGCTTCCCAATATCAGGAGGTATTTGTCCACTCAACTTGTGGTGTGAAAGATTCCTAGAAGTAAAGGCATGAAAACAAACATCACTCATAACCAACAAAACCCGCAATAAGGAAATACACAATGTTACAAGGGGTGGAATAGAAATTGGACATGTTACAAGCACAAACATGTAAAGAAACAAGAATATGAATTTGATGCAAATTGTGAGCCCCAAATGAAGTAAACTAGGTCACCGGTACACGTCATAAATATAAGCCCATGAATCTTATCTCCTTAATTATCACAAAGTAACTAATATGATTGAAATTAACAATTCAAAGTCTAACCCTTAATGCAAGAGAGGAGTAGGAAAAAAGCTCCTCACAGAAAGGGGAGAGTATTTCAACGAAGCAGCTGCTTTTTCTGATGCCAAATTGAAGATTATATCCAAAACAATTACTTCCTTCATTGCTTTATAATTGCACTATTTGAGTATCACACTTACCAAAACACAAGTTAAACCATTTGATAAGTTTAATTAAATATTAGTAAAAAGTTGATATTGACGTAAAAAAATCAAGACAAATCGAACAAGATCCCACATGACTATACTTTTTTCTTGCCCAAAAATCACAAAAAATGGTTGAATTTGTGAATAGTTTAAATTTAAAAATCGTCAATATTCAAATAGTGAAGGTCTGAAGGAGGCACAATTTTTCTCTATCAGCAAAGATTAAACAGGTATATATACAGGAAACAAGGCAGCAAATTGAGTCGTATGAAAGTAATGCTCCATCCATTTTTATCTCAAACAACTGGGAATCCTAACCTCTTACCATGTACAAATATATTTAAAATCCGACCTCTCATATCCAGGGTTAGATGTCTTAAGCTCATGCTTCTGGTGTTCCGTAAAAACAAGCCACATGCAATACTCTTAAAGGTTATGAATTTATCATCAAAATAAAACAAAGTATCAAAACTTACAAATGTATAACCCGCCTGGATTTCTCATTGCATGTCACTCCTTTCCACCGACATGGATCAGGATCTTCAGGTCTCCACTTTTGAAGAATACCATCTGAGTTGGGAACTGATGTTCTAAAATTCACAAGGGCCTCACCTGCATGTATACAAACAGAACAACATGATTTTAGTAATAAAAAAAAAATAATGAGCAAGGAAACCCTTGGGTTCTCTAGGCAATATAAAATTTTCCAGTCAACAGACACAGATATACAGCATGCAATTCCAAGATAAAGTTCTAGTGGCAGGCAATACATGGACGATTATGGCAGCTACGACATAAAGTGACAAATTTCAAACGCCAAGATGGTATATGATCAATTTAAGTGATTCCACGTATTTACACTTGAAAAAAGCACTATAATTACTAAATGAAAAGATTTTGACATTTGCAAAGCCAAAATTATGAGCATATATCATTTCTACGTGAATAACAAATAGAAGTACCAATAATTGTATTAAATGTGGCAGCTAATGATGGACTCTATATCATCACAGACTAACAGCACATACTGAACAACAGGTTTATAATTCCTCAACATATGTCAAGAAGTGTACTATACAGGAAAGAGGAAACACCATAATAATTTGATGCATTAACAAATCCATTACAAAGTAATTTGTATATTGAGCAAACATGTGCACACTCATCTTTAAGTTCCTAAATCCCTTTACATTTTTTCTTAAGAGGAGGGGGTGGTAAAGATGGACTTGACACCACCTGATGTGAATTATTTATAATGTAGGAAATGAGGTCATACATAACCTGTATAAGGGGGGCATGTCCTGACAGGAGGCAAATAATGGGTGATAACATTTGAGACAAACATTTAAAGATTATTTATAATATATCTCATAGGAATAAGAGGTTGGCAGAGGATCAGTGTAAAGCTCAGATCCTAGATTCCTTACAAAAGGAAAATAAACTTCTGCAGGACTCTGTTAGTGGTAAGAGAACAAGAAATGGACAATAAAGAAACAAAACCTACCGTCAGGACTGAGAGCTCTGCTACCAGCGGCCAGAATGCATATCACTACAGCAAATACATTGTACATGTGACCAAGTCTCAACTGAACAATTTCCATGGCAGATAAAGCAAAGCATGATAAGAACACAGTATATCATCTGATATACCCAATTATAGTGTCTCTACCTGCTCCGCATATCGTCATCACAAGTTTTATCTATCAAATAACTGCAAAGAATAACAGTGACGATCAGCAATACAATAATGAGTATATGTACCCAACAACCATGTTTAAGATCATAGATGTCAAATAAAAAAATAAAACCGTTTCTACCATAATTTAATTTCAGAAAGATAACTGCAACACAAGGCATAAAATTTCCAACTGCATTTAATATTGTAGCAACCACTTAAACACGAATCAAAAAGATTAGGAAGCCTCCAACAGCATTAATATTGTAGCAACCACTTAACAATAATCAGAAAGATTAGGTAGCTTCCAATTGATCAAGTAAAAGACTCAGAGCGATCCAATTCTAACCGATAAACCGCCTCAAAATCCCATCAAAACCGCCGATTGCACTTCAGCATACCAATGTAACTTAATTCTTCAAATATGACTCGCAGAATAGCACTCAAGCTCCACAACCATTTACAATGACCAAAATTCAATAAACAGTAACTTTCTTCACTAAATTCCACCTACCAATTCAACATAAACCCTAAACCCCTAAAAATACTTAAATTAACCAAATTCACTATTCTCAGTAATTTCTACACTACTAACTAAAAATCAAGCACAATCACATCAAAATAAACAAAGGTTAACCCTAAAAACAAGAAAAATCATCAATTAAACAAAAAATCGAAATCCTTAACAAAATTAAACTCAAAATTAAGCAATTGATTCACAAAATATCGAGTAATTACCTCCTAAATTATCGAAATCTGAGATGCAATTTTCTTCACTGAAAATGCATCTCAGATACCAAAAAAATCGGTGGAAAAAATGCCGGTTCCAGAAGTTTCTCCGATAATCCGCAGCTAAGAACAAAACCTGAATTGTAGCGAATTCGAGGAGAGAGAAAATCGATGATGAAGATGATGATGATAATGGTGAAGAGAGAGAGAGTTGAGAGAGTGTAAAGTGAGAAGAGAGAGAAAGTGAGTGAAGAAGATGCTCTATGAACTGAGACGAGCCAATAAGAGGAGAGAAAGTTGGCACGTGCAAGGAGGATGTTCCGCACGTGCAACCGACGTCGTTTAAGTACAATCATTTGCAGTAAGTAGAGTGGATTACTGTATTATTATGTTATGGAGTAATGATATAGGGGTGAGCATGGAACGGGTACTCGTACCATTAGTACTAACGGTTTGGGTAACCGTTAACCAATATCACTAAAAGTGATATCTATAAACCAAATTGATAAGTTCGGGTACCCAGATTTCAGGTATCCGGATTTTCGGATCGGTTATCGGGTACTCAATAAGATGTCCAATAATGATAATTAAACTTAATAATGTAGTTATTATGATAACATTTAACACTAATTTACAACAATACCACGTAATCTTGACCAAGTTATTAATAATATTACTAATCATTGATATTATAAAGTCATTATGAAGTAAAGTAAGAGTTTAGATTTTGGAAAAATGGATTTAAGTAGGAAAAAAAAAAACAAAAAATTGCTTATCGAATCGGATCGGGTAACCGTTATTTTTAAAATGATACCCAATAACCATACCCGATAACAAATTATCGGTATTCGGGTACTCTAATTTTCGTAACGGTTACGGATCGAGTTTTCGGGTTTTTGGTTTTTCGGTTAGTTTTGCTCAGCCCTATACTACTAATACTATAGTACTCCGTAGTATAAGTATCCAACTATCAACCATTGGAAATGTCTGTATTGTCCTTTGACTCTTGCTTCAATACTCCTATGTAGTATGATTACGTAAAAACAATAATCTCTACCCATTTAAAAGTGAGAACTTGGTCAACATCCCTAATAGTCATTTGAGTTTAAGTCAACGAAAAACATTGTTCGTAAGTTTTCCCTGTGAATAACTTTTTTCTTGGGGGTGTGAAAGCCGAAAGTAGGCCCTATACGTCGTAAGTGAAGATATGGCATCTTGATTAGTGTATACAACGATTATGTTTCACCTTTGTTTTGGCTAGCTTTAGGCATGAGATAAACCTTCACACATTGGTACATCATGTGTACACCATAGAAATTCTTTTTCTTTAAAATACCTGTTTTACTATTTTTGAAATACAAATAGGAAATTCTAAGACATTACCGCCACCGTGAAAACGGCTAAGACAATTATCAAAGACGCACAGCGGAAGACTCACTTTAAAACCATTCAAAACAAGTCAACTTAAAAAGTCAAACCAAACGAAAGTAAAGTCAAACAAAATTAAACTACAACTTGGAACCATTGTAGGCCCTTATCAAAACTCAAAACGAATGTTAAAATCTTTGTGTTAGTCTCACAAGCAAATATATAATAATCAAAACGAATAAACACATCATATTCTTATGATATTCTTATAAAAACTAAACAGGAATCGCTCTTTATATTCCAAACCAAATTAAACATTTAGTTTAATTAAACAAACCTTCAAACATGCCAATAATAAAAGTGTGTGTAATACTCCGTATTTTCATATAATTTATAAATTATTTAATTAATTATAATATATATTTTTAAGGGCTAAAGTATTTTAAATTAGTGAGTTTTATAAAAGTATAATTTATTTTGGGCTAAACGTTTATTAATCTTTTAGGCTCATTTAAATAATAGTATGTAAACAATCCTTACATACTCCTTGTGGCCCAACCCATTTTATTTAAGTAAACCCAATTCTTTTATTTGAACCCTTGTGGGTCAAATATTTCATAAATAAAGTCCATTTGTTTATTAAGCCCAACCCTAATCTTTATTCCCTACACTATAAATACCTCTCAATATCCCAAAATTTTCCCACACAAGAGATCAAAGATCAGATTTTGGGGTAAGTAATCTTTTCTTTTCCCTTATTTTTCTTTTCTTTTTCTTTCTTTTCTTTTCTCCTTTTTCTTATTCTTTTCTTTCCTTGCATGCTGCTTTGGTTCATGTGTGAATGCATGGCCAATTGCTGCTTGCATGTTTTGCAGCAACCTCACGCCACTCCCCAGCCAGCCGGCCACCTCCCGCCGGCGACCCACGTCGGCAACCATCCCCACCGTGAGCCACCTTTCTCTCTATCTCTTCCTCCTTGTTTTAAATTATTGTTTTATGTAGTATATATTTTTGGGTTTTGATTCTTGTTATTTAAATATGATTAGTATATTTTATAATTGTGTTTTGATAACTAAAGAGTATAAACTTCTGATTTTGTATGGTTTCAAATTATGGTTTTTATAAAGTATTAAAAGGTTAGGGTTTTAACTATTAAAGTGTTGATTTTTAGGGTTCTAATAATCAATTAAATTAGGGTTTTCATTCCTATTGAATTTATAAAGATTAATTAAATATAAAAACTGATTTTCGGTAATCAAATTCCGATCTCCGTTCTTAATTATTTTTAATCACGTTTTAATCCCGCTGAGATTATAACTCGTCTGATTTTTACAAATAAATAGTGTTTTTCATGTGTAAACAACGTTCTAATCATAACATATTACCTTCGGCAGTAATTACCACCCTCTCGTGGCCAAAATCAGCCTCTAAATAGGGTTTTCGGACAGTTTTTGATTTTTGACGAAGGTTTAATGTTTTAAAAATAATTTTCAGATTTATTTGGGGGGTTTAAATTATAAAAAGTGTGTTGGAATTTTTATATAAACACCATGAATGAGTTTTTACTTTGTGGTTTTAATTACCCACTTAAAGAAAGAGTTTTAAAGGTTTTAAACCAAAAATTTCAGCTTATTAGAGAAGGTTTAAAGTGTTTAAAGGTTGCTAAAAATTTGTGTAATCAAGGAAGTAATTGAGTTTATGTATTTGGTATTGTAGGAGACTTTAAGTTGAGTAATTTCTAGCATTGTGGCTAGTTGGAAAGATGATTTAATTAAGGTACGTACAAGTATACGAAGAACCTTGACTTTAGAAGCATGTTTAAGGACTTGGAAAAGACCTAGAATCATGTTAGGAGACTTGTGGATTGGTTGAAATTGTTTGGTAATAAGTTGATTGTTGATAAATGTGATGATTGCTTTAATTCATGTATGAGAAATTGCATTGATGTTTCCTATTGAGCATTATTTATGCAATATTTTGCAAGAGAGCTTAGAAGCAAAGCTACAAGTATATATATATGGAATGAATCGTTTTAACTACTTATTCAATTGTATTGAATTGGAATGAGTAAAGAAAGAGTTAAAGTCTGATAAGACATAATTGTGGATTTGAGGTGCCTTATGCACTTAAGGTGTTTATACACCGAGGTAGTTAAAGGATGCAATAATACATGTTGTTTGTCACTAATAAATTAAGAATTGAATTGGAAACTTGAATGATTTGTATGATTGATGTATGATTGGTTGTGTTGATTGCATGTGAGTCATCACCTAATCTAAACTGGTAAATCACGTAAAGTGCAAGAAGGATGAGCAATAAAACTCTGGATTTGTGCACATCTAGAGTAATGACAAACATGGGTTGGGGTTCACAGGGTATTAGCCGTGTACTTTTCAGAGGTCGTCTGATCTACGAGTCTCTTGTTTAAATTCTTTTAAAAATTATAATGAGTTAGATGAGATCTCATACTAGCTATGGCCACGGAGTCGCGCCCGTCTGCCATTGGATGTTTATTAATGTCTTCCGAAAGGAGGCATAGGGTTTTCTTTATTAATGTTCCGGAATGGAGCATAGGGGGACAACCTGGTCAATTGCTTAATCCGATCAAGTTAATGAAATGAACAATGCTATTTAGTGAAAACTTAGTAATGATCGACAATTGAGTCATGTGTTCCAGTCAATGATTATATTGTGAGTGTATGAAATGCTTGATAGTATCATGCTAAGACTCTTTACTATATTTCGTAGCTTGTATGTACTCAGCGATGCTAATTGCGTGCTTTTGTGTGTTTCTCTTGGTCATGGCCTTCGCCTTCAATGACCCTGTAATGATCCAATTCTTACACTTGTAATTTTGGGGAGCAGATTAATCACAGGTTTTTGCATAAACTGATTTGCATCAGGGTGATGGGATTTGAGTGGAGCGTTGGTTATTCACTTAGCTTATTTTATATCATAGATTGAATTTTATTTTGGTTCTAATTCCATTTACTTCCTATTATACTGGATTTTGAATAAGGGTCGTTATGGTTCCTAATTGTAAGACTAAGTTGAGTTTTGACTTTTAGTTTTGAAACTTTTATTCTTTTTAAAAACTAAGTTAGTTTTCCGCTGCTGATTTCTGAAACTAGCCTTAACGTTTGAACACGTGGCGGTAGCACGCCAGTAATTCTCTCATAGGTTATTAAAAGTATTTACAGGTTATTACAGATTAATACAGGTTTTAAAGAGAGAATTATTGGGGTGTTACAGTGTGGTTCTGACATGCCAACATAATTATTCAAATCACCAATTCACCACAAATAATTCATACTTCACAAATCAATCACCAACATCAATCCAATCAACAATTCCAACCAATACCTATCATGATACTACTTTGGAATTAATTAAACAAAGCCTAGCATGCTTCTATACACTTAAATAATTACCAAGTATGCGAACGTACCTCGAATATGATCTCAAAATCGCCACAACTACACGAAATCACTCACCTGGAAATTTCCTACAACCCAAAATTACAAAGAGACATTAATACATATTCAATATAAATTTCCAGCAATATATACACTCTTTATATCACTTATAAACCCTCTAAAACATGCTGAAAATTAATTTAAAACCCCTACTTTTATTCCCTATTAATGAGTAATTAAAAATCCTTTCAAGAAACATAATTTTAACATTTATATAAAAATTCCAGCTTTATAAAAACATGTAAAATTGTTTAAATGTTTAAAAATACCTACTTCAATAATTCCAACTAATTACAATCAATTTCCATTAATATACATTAATCTAAAAACTTAGGGTCTTCAATTTGGGGCTTTTTAATTCAAAAAATAAATCTAAAAATTATATACATAATAATCATAATCAAAC